ACTATGTGCTTAATTGGTTAAGAACCTTATTTTATATTTTATGACAATAATACTACATTCAAATTAATAATGCATTTGACTGTGTTCCGTTAAACGTATATATATTATGGCTGGATTTAGTGGAGAGTTTAAACTATCTGACCCACAGACAGTGCCTGTGGAGTCCTGTAGCTCAGTGGTTAGAGCACTCGCTTTGCAAGTGAGAGACCTGAGTTCAATTCCAGGCAGGGCGAAACCTTGGGCAAGTTTCCTTACTCCACACGCCTAATAATAATAATCCCTCCAAAAAACCCAAAACAATAATAAATTGGGTCATTTTCAATCTATGACTGTTTGTTGGATATTGCTGTGCGCATTTGGCTGCCGCGTTCGCCCACATATATACAGTCAATTCACTTTACAGTGTGTTCTGTGAAGCGCTTTGGGACGTCCTCCCGACGTGAAAAGCGCTATATCAAATGCAAGGATTAAAAGTGCCAACAAACCATTAAACATTTGTTGCCATGTGGTTTTCAGCAGAATTCCATTATTGTGTTGATACTGTTGGAAATAAAAAATGCCTTTAGATCTTTGCACTGGAGGACTAATCCTCAATATGCCAGCACTTTGTGTAACTTTCCATCCCTCTACTTAGCAACAATTTTTTTTAAAAATCCAGAATAACCTTAAATCCAAAATTTAAAATATCTAAGAATAAGTGAGGTAAAATAGATTTGTGTAGAACACTACTAATTGATTTCTGTCTAATCTATTCCCCTTGAATCTATTTCTGTGGAAAACAGAAATTTTCAAAAGTGAGTTCTGACTCAGCAGATTAAAAAATGGATAATTTGTTAAAGCATAATCTCAGTATGGAGTTGATTAAATTCAATGTTCCTTGATTAAGAGGTTCTGTTAAAATGCCACCTTTTCAGTGTATGAGTAGAGGTGAATATTGTGCCTTTTTTTCCTGCTTCTAAAGTATCTACCACACACGTTGAAAACAATGATTAGGGGCAGAAAATCAACATTATTGTGTAATTCAGGGAAGAATTCAGTGCAACAGTTAATGTTTCATTACATGTGATGTTCTGATTTGGTTTTTTAATCAATATAATTGTGTTTAATGAGATTAAATCTTGCTTAATAACATTTCTTTAGAGCGTAGTTCCTAAGTGACTAACTTTGAAAAATGAAATCTACTATACTTTATGATGATGTAGTAGATATAAACCCAAACATTTCACCTAGTCTTAGGCGATTAGACTATTTTGTTTTACTATTTAAGATAGGGAAGAATTGAAAAAATATTAAATCCAGTTTTATAAATTTAATCAATTTTTCACAAATCTTAAAAAGTAGCAACTTCTGAAGAGTTATCCACAATTCTACATGATGTTAAATTTTTAACACAAAATAGTCTTACAGGCTACAAATAGGTGATACTTGAGCCCCATTTATCTGAACAAACAGAGAATACTGTCAATAAGGGGCTGACTTTTTCATTCTTTCCCAAAGAATTCAAAGAGATTAATGCTCATTGTATATTTATCACAATGCAAAATATTACAAAAATCTTATTCTGAACAGCTAGCTATTTCAGTTTAGTTAATGGTACTCTGCTGAAAGGCAAAAATACATCTATTAAAACAGACAAAATAGATAAAACATGTGCCAATAATTATATACAGGGTAAAGTTTTACCATTTTGCTTGTGTCCAATGGCACCAAATTTCCTATCAAACGCATAAATCATACACCAATTTCAAAAGTGTCAAAGATTTAGGTTAAAAAATGGAAAGATTTTAGACAACTGATTAAAAAAATAAACAAATAGAATTTAATCAATCTCTTACATTAGTTTCCGCTAAATCATTTCAGTGTTCATTGTATATTATCCTTTAAAGTGTAGATGACCTCGGACACCAGATTTGCGTTTAGTGGCATGTATGCATTCTATAGTTTAAACTTAAGACTATACAGTAAATTCCTGATAACTCAACTCTGGCTTAATTTGTCACTACGCTTAATTAAGTCATCATGCTGTCAACATCCGTCTTCATTTATACATATGTCGGAACTCCGTATAACTAGTCACTGAGCCCTTTTCCCGTGGAGTGACAAGTTATCGGTGTTCCTTGATCATCTAATCTCTATAATAGATTCTCTAGTGATCAGCAACCTTCATGGATCTGTTCATAAGTCTTTGAAATTCAATAGCATTATGCAATTTGCTTGAATGAAAGTTTTCAGCATATCTGCAACAGTGCAATTAAGTTTCTTCCATTGCAGGTGAAGTTCATAGTTTCCAGCCTTAAAAAGTAGACAGGCATTTTTATTCCCTAAGAGAAATCGTGACAAAACAGAAGGTATTGTGTCGCAACAGATATATAGTTCAGTTTGTATGGCAACACAAGTGCACAATGTTTTGCATTGTGACAAAGTGTGCTTCAGACTAACTCTGTTCTGTCCTATTACATTTCCAGTCATCTCTGTTTTTATATTTTGTTCCTGAATGAAACATAAGACTTGTGTTCTGCTGCTTCTTCTTTCTACTGTAACTACCAGTTTGTGCTTTGTTTCTTTTGACTTTCATTATTCTTACCTTATTTCCCATGAATTAACTAATTATACACATCTCCCTCCATCTCAGTAATTTTTTTTCCCAATTGTGAGAAAATTCAGCAGAATTTTTCAATTTTCTGGTAAACACAACTAAATTGATTGGGCTTGGTTTAGCCTCAGCTTGGTAACATTGATGTGCACACCAATGCAGATATCCACATCCCTGTCACTGAGCAGATCAGCACCAATGTTGAATCATATGCTGTTGTGAATGATTTCAACACTTCGTATTAGCATATCCATGTTTAGCATGGAAACTCCTGATCTCCAAAGCCTTCAGTCCTTGCCCCTATATTACTCCAACTTTGAACTTGTATCTGTATCTTGAAGGCTATGCTGCAAGACATCAATTCTATGAACAAAACCTGTCTTTTTGGCACTATAAAATAGTGAGATGGATAACCTTAGAGCTTTTTTTCACTGGTCCAATTTTCTGTGACACTTAAGTATTGTAGATAGTAGCCTGGCATCATGGTCTATTCTGTAAATTGTCAGTCATCAACACAAATTGCTCCCGAGCCTCCACCAGCAGCAGACCAGCTACTACAGGCAGGAACACAGGTTTAAGAGAATCTCATTGCTAAGTTGTACCAGTGAACTCATCAATCGGTCACTATTGTTTTTGTATTTACATATTTACAATTACTGAACTTTTTTGACATAATTTTTTTTGCTACCTACTGCATTTGTTTAAGTTGGTTGGATTTTGTCATAACTAAATATTTTTATTACTAATGTGTAATGATGCTGGTTTCCCCATGCCAGCATCATTACAAGCAGCAGCAAATTAAAAAACTAAACAAAATAACTTTGAGCCTCTCTGTATGCATTGGAGCCTCTGTCAGTCACTGTCACCCAGTATCACAATGATACTGACTGACATGGACAGACAAAGGTTCAGGTACATAGAAAGAGTCCCAGATGGTTTTAAATTTGTGCTTTTTTTAAATTCCACATACCAGCATCATTACAGACAGCGGGAAATTTAAAAAAAACTAAGCGAACTAAATAAATAAACAAAATAAATTGTCTGTGCCTCACTGAAAGGGTCAGACAAAGGCTCCGATGGATAGAGAGCAATAAATTCTATTTTTGAATTTGCTGCTGTCGTAATGATGCCAAGATCATGGAGACCGGTGTCACTCCAGACAGCGGGAAAAGTATATGATTCAAACGTAATACCTACCTTTAGTGTTGTCCTCAAATTGAAGACAACACTAAATGTGGGCATTGGGACTTGATTTCTCCACTTCCATTGATCTTTAAACATGATGAAAAACAGCTTGAAATAATATACATAGGTCGGGGGGGTAGGGAGGGTGGGTACTTGATAGCAGAGGAAGTGGTCAGGAATCAAATATAATTCAAGAAAATTTATTCAAGAAAAACACAACTCATTAAGTGTAATCAGTACCCTATGGCGCCAATGGTTTTTGATTAGATGTGTCTCAGATTAATCCTCTGGAATTACAACAGGCACCAATCTCCTGTTAGAAAGCCTCTTTTGGCCACTCTTCATGTTCCAGGAAGTTCCTGTAGATTGTTTTGAAAGCACATTGCTGTGGGATGAAATCTTTGTGAATCTTACATTTTAGACTTGAAGGTAGCAAGTACAAAGTTATTGAAATAAAAGATGCTGGACCACAGCATTGTGTGTTTTAGGTCATTTTACATCTAAATTTATCTGGTCTCTTATGCTCCTTTCAACCTTGGTAGTGTCCTGCACATTGGGTCTTGCCCATTCACCTAGATTTTTCAACAAAAATATAGTTCTATTTTTTTTTCTCCAGTTGTGATTTCTTTTACATGATTATATACAAATAACAGTGTCAGGGAAAACACAATGTATGTTCTTTTTAAATCCAAATTACAACAACTTTGTTCATTAGCACAAGTCAATTTAGCATCAGGTTTAATAATGATACAGCCTCATAAATTGCGATAATGTGTCCACAAAGAGAATTAACTTTACAGAATTGTTTTTAAATACTCTAAAATCATTGCTTGAAATAAGCCAACTGAATTGCATGGAAATGGCCAATCAACAACAGCAAGTTGCAGTTATATAGCACCCTACACATGAGGTAGCATCTTGGAGGCATGTGATCATCGAAGAGGAATGTCTTCAGGTGTGATCTAAAATGGGCAAGGAGGAGGCAAGGCGGATAGATTGAGGCAGGGAGTTCCATAGTTTTGTGTGTTGTGACTGAATTTACAGTCATCAATGGTGGAGAGGAGGGGATGAGGAACATCCAGGAGGCCAGAACCAACCGAGTGACGGCAGCAGGTAGTTGAGAGGGATGTAAGCAGGTTGGAGAGGTACAGGGTAGTGCCTGGACATGAAGTGATTTGGACACAATGGTGAAGATCTTGAAAATCAATCCATTCTGCAATTGGGAGCCAGTGGAGCCTGGCAAGGACTGAGGTCATGGTGGAGGTTGGTGCAGGTGAAGGTATAGATGGCGGAGTTTTAAATTAATTGAATTTTATGAATGGTGGAGCCGGGGAGACCTGCGAGGACGACGTTGGAATAATCGCGAGTGAGGTGACGAATGCATAGCTAAGGGATTCAGTTGCGTTACTGTGAGGTAAGGTCAGAGGTGGGCAATGTGGTGGAAGTAGAGGAAAGTGGTTCTGGTCAGGCTCCGGATGAGGGGTAGGAACCTGACGCCCATGATACGCACAGGTTCGGTAAATCTGAAGGATAGGCTGGGGAGGTTAAGGAAATCAGTGTCACTGGTGAGAAAACATTGATGGGAACCAAGGAGTCTGGCTTGTCAATATTTAGCTGCAGAATGTTGGTGCTCATCTAGGCTTTGATGTTTGAGAAGCAAGAGAGCAGAACATCCGCGGACCTGGGGGTCACAGCTGGAGGAGGAGAATAGATTTGGGTGTCATCTGCACATGTGTGAAAGTTGATCCGAAGTTTGTGGATGACATCGCTGAGAGGGAGCATTTAAGTGAGGAAAAGAAGGAAGCCAAGGATGGAGCGTACCTGGCAGGGACGTAAGGAAAAATTATTTGCAGAGAAAAAACACAATTGTAGAGAAAATCATCCACAATATTCACTAGAAGTTGATTTTCAGCTGAGTTCAATCCCAAAACCATTTCTCTAAATTACGAGCAGATCTATAGTTGTTTTTCCGTTTTACATGTTCACAAGTAGCACACGCATGTTCCTCCCAGAAATATGGCATCTTTACTTTGTAGTATTTCCTCCACTTGAAGTAGGTCCTATACAAGTCTTGGTCTTTATCAAGATGGTGCAGGTACTCTGCCAGCTCCTTAGCTGACGTAAAATCATCCACGTGAATGAAAGAGTCTGCTGGAATGAAAGTCTCGTAGTTTTCTCTGGATGGGCCCAAGACCACAGGCACTGTGCCTGTTCGCAAAGGGTTATAGAGCTTTTCAGTAATGTAATCCTTATGGATTGAGTTTTCAAAGGAAAGGTAGAATTTGCAACTAGTTAACAATGGTATGAAATCATTATTGTTCAGATATTCCCCAAAGGCGCGCCCATGCACAGAGATATCAATGTACTTGATCAGTTCATTATAGTACTTTGCTCTCACATGGTTAGGACTCCAGTGGCTCACAACCCAACACACTAGCTTGCTCTTATTGGGAACTTTAAAATCTGAAGAATCTGGACTCATAATCAGAGACCCATAAGGCACTTGAATATCTGAATCTTGACGATAAGTTAAGGTTAGGTTAAATTGTTGGCCAAGCCCATTCCTTTTTGGACTGTGGGTCGGTGACTCCATGTTCATCCAAACCCATTTCTGGAAAGGTGGCCGTGGCTCTGTGGGCAGGTTGGACAAGTCCCCACTGATGTCCCTGTGATGAATAAGGACAGCATGGGATTTGCTGTACAGATTTCTATCCTGAGTCAAATGGCAGCCATGAATGTTGAACCTTGAGTTACAAGAATTGAGACTAAAAGCCTGACCAAAAGGCCACAGCCAAATGAGCACAATAGTTCTGTTGTCCTCCTCAGTCTTTTGTGAAAACGGATTTTTTATATTTAGAACTGATGCAGCTGATTCCATGGGAATGTAAATCCAGCTGTTTAATGGTTTGATGTATATTAACAATAAGATTGCTGTAATTCCCAGAATGATGATGAAAATTAGAAATATACGTAAACATCCTTTATTACAAGCTGACATAATGTGTCCTGTAAAAGGAAGAAAACGATTTTTAGTACATTGGGACTACACAACTGAACCACAATTGAGTAATTCAAATGGGATATCTGCGATGAGATTATAGCAGCAGAAAGAAAAGCATCTAAAGAATAATATGAAAATAGCCCAAGGAAAGTAAGACAGTGGAATGAAAATTGTGACTGTGGTATGTTAATTATCACATTGCTGACAGTGGCGGTCAACGTGCCAGTCCATTATTAAAGATAATAGATAACTGAAGACTGTTGATAACAAACATCTAACAGCCTTTAACATCCAATAACCAAACACAATCAATAACCAAAGACATTCGAGAAACCAAATAAAGTCAACAACCTAAGATGAATGATAATTAATTATCAAAGACTGTCGATAACTAAAGATAGTCATTAACCAAAAACAATTGATAACCAAATAGAGTCAAAAAAACAAAGTTAGTAGTTAAGTAAAAACTGGCCACAGGTGTGACCCTCCCAATTTGGCAATATACAATGTCTGGGCTCGAAGAAATCTCATAGCTTCCACTTGTCACATTTGGACTTGCCAACCAGTTCATCGAGTACAGAATCTAATGAATTGCCTTGGGATCTTTTAACATCCACCTGGTCAGGCAGACAGGACCTCAGTTTAATGTTGCATCCAAGGGACGGTACCTCCAACATTTCAGTACAACTGCAGCACCACATTGGAATGTTTGCATTGCCGAGATAGGTTCCATGTCCCGAGGTAGAGTTTAAACCCAAAAGTTCTGACTCAATGGTGAGCATGCTACAAACAGAGCTAGGCTGACACACAGTTCTCCAGAATACTCATTCACACATCACAGCATCAAACTGTTTATTATATGAGTCTACTGTCTGGGTCCCAACCACCCAATGCTTTCTCTGTGGCAAGATATTAGGTGTCATCAAGTTAATTTTGATTGGAATTCTACCTGACACTTAACACACACACTTTCCAACAGGAATTACGGGGTAAACAGATAGTTTCCCCTTCTTACCACAGGACTGATACCACAGGAGGAACCTGAGTCAATCCTGGTTTGTATGACTCGGTTAAGCAAAACAGAAATACTGAGAAAATCACAGCATAGAACATCAATCAGCTACATAAAAGACACAAAAAGAGGGTTACATTTCAGACGCGACTCTTTAATCTGAACATGAGAGATCATGACGAAAGCCTTCCTCTTTCACAAGATGATCCACTTACTGTACACTTCTAATATTTTGATGTCACATTTGTTACCCCCACCCCACCTTCAATTCCTATTCATTATACCTTCAACATTTTATATTTTTCTTTTTGAAATATGTTTCCCTCCCTTTTGGAAGTATTTATTTATTCTGCTTCAACCCTCATTTTTGGTAGGTATTCCATGTCCTAATAACTGTATGTGCAAACACTTTTTTCCTTATTCACCATTCCTACCAGTGTCTATTCCAATCCGTATCTAATTTTATCCTGGTTGAGAAATAGTTACAGTGTATAGTGCAATATCTTATAGTGTCTACAATGCTACAATGTCAAAACATGTAAAAGTGCTTCACAATAACTTTTATTAAGGGACATTTTTTGCAGGAAAACACAACAGCTGTTGCACATCACAGGGTCCCATAAAAAGCCATGAGTTGAATGATCTAATTGTCTGGAGATTGTTGATAAGAACAAAGGGAGATACTCCCCTCTCTTTTTCAAGTGATCTTTAATATCTACCTGAACGAATGGCAGGCAGGCACCTGGTTTAACTTGGATAGCACCTTCGACAAAGCATTACTCCCCCGGTATTGCACTGCTGCAGCAGCCTTGATGATGAGCTCAAAGCCTTGATGTGGAACTTGAAGTCACAATATTCTAACCTGGAGGCTCAAGTGCCAACTGGAAAGCACTGACACGGAAACTAATAATATTTCAGGACATTAACATTTCTTCTTTCAGCTTCTTTTAGTCCTAGATTATTATGATGTTATTTTTCAGTGTCACTTTTACTGGCTCATATTATTATTGATATGAAGTTAAATTTTCTGGGCTGAAGAGACCCATGATTTTCACTGTTTTTCTAAAGATCCAACTCAAACAATAATACAATTTGAAAAACTCATGTTCTTTAAGCTTATTAATGAAGAGCTTGTTAATGTCACTAACTGGTCACTTAGAGACCCTTCACATACTAGGCTGTCTTTGGCTGCACAGCTTCCCAATAGCTGGAAGGTTTTGATGAAACCTCTTCCAGAATATTTGAGCATTACTGAACTGATGGAAAAACTCCCTGAAATCAAAATGAACTCTTTCAACGTTCAATTACTTGAATTTTGCGTCCATATGCATGCCAAATAATGTTTGTTTTTTTCAATTAGAACTTTTGTTTGAATACTGTGCATGTTAATGTGACAATTTACAATATAGTTCACGCTCTGCCTTCCCCAGCTCCGCAACTTTGCCCAGCTACTGCCACTGCCTCTCCCCTCAGGCCACTGAGACCCTCATTCATGCTTTAATTACATCTAGGCTCGACTACTATTTGTCGGCCTTCCCAACTCTTCCCTCCACAAGCTGCAGATTATACAGAACTATGCAGCTCGTGTCCTCTCCCGCACCAGGCTCCATGACCCCATCGCCCCCAACCTTGCCCAGCTCCACTGGATCCCCATTCCCCCAGACGACTGAGTTGAAAATCCTCACCCCCACATTCAAAGCCCTCCGCGGCCTTGCTCCTTCCTACCTATGTGACCTGCTAACCTCTTGTCAACCTGTCCGCTCCCAGCACTTGGCAGGTTTTGTCCAGCCTGCTCCATGTTCCCTGCCCTGTTGTTAGAATTATTCATTCTAAAATTAATAATGACTAAAATTCCCTCAGAAACTCCATCCAGCAGTCCCTCTGCCTTTCCCCTCCCACCTTGCTTCCTTGAAGATCCATCTCAATACCATCCTCTTCGACCATGCCTTTGATCACCATCATTCCCCCCCTACTCTTCATCCTCCCTGATCCTGACCCCTAGCTTGGGTCCAAAACACTGATTGTCCAGCGCCTTGGGATGACAAATGTAATTTTGGTGCTATGGTCACATTTGGTAGTCTTAAAAAGATTAGGTATTAATTGAACCATGTTTTCAGTCATCTCTATCTCCGCTGCCAACTTCAATTCCCTCAACTCAGGAGCTCCGAAACCCGTGTAAAGCGCCATGAGATGTCCTCTCAACATGAAAGACATGACATAAATGTGAATTATATTGTATTTCCAACATGCAAATCTTAGGATTGTTCTGCACAGAAGATCATGTATGCACCAGGTCTCTGTAAAATTTCTGTTCTTTTCCCTTTATTCTTTTAATATTTTTCCTTGTGCAATATGTTTCCCTCCCTTGTGGAAGTTTTTATTTATTCTACTTCAACCCTCATTATTGGTAGGTTTTCCATGTCCTAATAACCATATGTGTAAACACTTTTCTCCTTGTTGACTATTTCTAACAGTGTCTATTCCAATCTGTATCTAATTTTATTTGTTTGAGAACTAATTATATTGTATAGTGTAGCAGTTTATCATATCTACAATGTCAAAAATTCTCAAAGTGCTTCACAATAATTATTGGCAAGTTAAAGTTTTTTAGCAGCAAAACACAAAGCTGTTTTACACATCACACAGTCCCATAAACAGCCATGAGGTGAATGATAACTTGTCCGTGTTGCTTTGAGACAAATAATATGATAAAGAGGTGGGATGACATATTAAGTATAAACCAAAAGAAAGCCTGATTTGTAAAGAGTAATGGGTCTAATAGTCATGGATGAGACTATTAGACAGACAGACACAATCATCTGCAACCCAACTAGAAGACCCGAAGGCTTTGCTGCCTCCCTGGGGCTGGGGTGAAGGATGTCTCGGCAGGGCCAGAGGATAATTTAAAATACGAGGGCAAGAATCCATTGGTGGTACTTCACATAGGTACCAATGACATCTGTAGAGTTGGCCAAGATGACTTGAGAAGTGAACTCAAAGAGCTGGGGTCCAATTTGAAGTCAAGATCATCGAAGGTGGTAATATCAGGACTACTACCTATACCATACGACAATTGGTACAGGAACAAATTAAGGACTTGAACGCATGGCTAAAAGAGTGGTGCGGAACTCAGGGGTTTCTTTTGATGGGTCATTGGCATGAGTATTCGAGGAAAAGAGAGCTCTTTCAGAGAAATGCGCTGCATTTAAATTGTGCTGGGACAAATGTCCTAACTAAACAAATTAACAGGGAGATAAATAGAAATTTAAACTAGTAAGGGGGGGGGGGGGATATATAGGTAAGAGAAACCATAAGTTAACATGAGAAAAAGTAAAGATGACAGTGCAGAATAGCATGCCAGATAATAGGAATATATTAACCAGGGGTAAGAAGCTTGGCAAAGCAGATAAGGAATCAGAGAGTAGAGGAAATGGTAGGTAATTCAAAATGTTACATCTGAATGCACGAAGCATTCGGAATAAAACTGATGAATTAAAAGCACAGATAGACACATATGGGTACGATCTAGTAGCCATCACTGAAACATGGTTACAAGGAGATCTAGGGTGGGAGTTAAATATTCCAGGGTTCTCAGTTTACAGGAAAAATAGGCACTGTGGGAAGCGAGGTGGGGGGTAGCCCTGTTAATTAGGGATGAAATAAAAACAGTGGAGAGGAAGGATCTGAAATCTGATGACCAGGAGGTAGAGACAATATGGGTGGAAATAAAAAAAATAAAGGACAGAAAATATTAATGGGAGTGGTTTATAGACCCCCAAACAGTGATCACAATATAGCACAAGGTATTAATCAAGAAATCAGTGGAGCATGTAGGAAAGGTAAAGCGATAATAGTGGGTGATTTCAATCTCCACATAGATTGGGAAAACCAAATCGGCAAAAGTAGGTTAGAAGAAGAGTTCATTGAGTGTATGAGAGATAACTTTCTAGAGCAGCATGCTGAGGAACCAACTAGGGGACAGGCCATCCTAGA